TTGGATTTTGAGTGGTCCCCTCTCTTGGATCAATCCCCCCCCCCCCCAATTTGGTGTGTTGTACTCCCCTCTGGTAGTGGGCCCCCCTGCCGCCGGTGCATTGGCAGCTCTCAGCAGCTGGGGCTGGGTAGTAGGGTGTGTGCGGGCACGCCCTGGTGGCTGCCTGCCGGGGCCTGGGTGCCCTGGCTCTGCCGGGCCTCTGTTGGGGGGGTGGTATGACCTCGGGACTCGATGTCCAAGGCTGGTTCTACTCTGGAGGGGCGGGTTGCCGGCGGGGCCTGTGGACTCATCACTGCAGCCTCCTGGGGTTTCTGCATTGTGGTGGCTGGGGATCGCCCGGGGCTTCCCTTTGCTTCTCTCTCTGGGGGTGCGGGTGTCCCTGTTGGGGGATTCCTGGAGTTCCAGGCTTGGGGGCTGCTGTGTGTCTGTGGTTCCGGTCTTCCCTGTGTTACCATCATGTCCTGTGGGGATGGGTCTGTGGGTCCCCACATCCACTATTAAACATTTTTATGGAGAAACCTTATAGGGACAAGCATGCTCACACAGGTGTTTAGATTCAGGTGTTTATCAGATACACACTCAGTTGGGTTGTGGTGGCCACTAAATATATCTTGTATTACCATGTACTGTATAAAATACTTTCTAATGATGTTACAAGTATCCTTATATATGTTGTTTGTTGTTGTGGTTTCTTGGTTTTGTCTCGTCTTTTTTTTTTTCGCAGGTCTAGAGGCAGACTGCAATGATGTTGATGTGTGTTCCCTTTATCCCTCTCTCTCTCCTCTATTTATATCTCCTTCTTTACCTTTTAACCCTTCTCTCACTTTTCTGCATTGCTATCTTCTTTGTTTTTCATCCCCATGTCCATTACATCTGAAGCAAGCCCATAGCAAATTCTAATAAAATTTAATTTTCATATCAAGCAGAGCATTAAGGCCAGCCATAATGCTCTGCTTGTGAAAGTAAATCTGTTGGGTAACATTTTGACACTCAGACAATAATTCTGTGTCACAATGCCAGACAGGACAAGGGAGGAAAAAAAAAAAAAAAGGAGTGACTAATTTTGGTATTTTTTATTTCATTTTAATATTTTATTTTAATATTTTATTTTGACAGGCTGCTGAACTTCCTGTTGCTATATAACATTTTCCCTTGACAGTCCTGGGCACTCATATAACCGCCAAGCACCCACCCCTCTTGGGGGCGGGATTTTGTGACACAGACAAAGTGAATATGACAGGTATTCATGACAGATGCTGTCATTCCCCGATCTGTTACAGAAGCACGATTCGTAGTGTTGCTCATTTGCGCATGCGCTAAAAGGAATACTTCCAGGTCACACAGATCACCGTTGAATATGCTAAATTAAGGAAAATGTACAGGCATAATTCCGTTTCTGAATAAGAACTGTCTAAATTTACTTAGAAAAGTATGTGCTGTATCTTCACTGATCTTCATGTTGCTAATTCATGGCAGTGGTCCCCAACCTTTATTGCGCCACGGACCGGTTTAATGTCAGACTATATTTTCACGGACTGGGGGTGGGGGTGGGGGGGCAGCAGTCTGAGAGTTTTACCCTAGAGCTGTTTTTTTCCCCCCATTTTTTAAATAGTTTTCTTTCATTTGTTCTTCTCAATTACTATGCTTTCATTTATGATTGTCCACAGTTGTCATCATTCTGTTAAAATCAGGTCTCTCCTGTAAAGGAGTCCCTGAGGCTCAGTGGGACTAACCTGTATAAATAAAAGTTTCAATTAATGAATTAGATCAGCAAATACAGTGCTTTACCTAATTTTATGTTAATGTTTGAGTAACTTTTTAATGTCAAAACATCTGTAAATCATATGAACATCGTTCTCATCTCACGATGGAAAGATCAGCTCCTGCACAGCATTTACCACTGGAAGACTGAGGAAGAGGCTGATCTCAACAAATCCTAAAAGTGGCTAAAGAGGGCTGGACTGAAGGACAGCACAGAGACACTAATCATGGCAACACAAGATCTATAGAGGCTGGAGTCTACCATACTATACTGATACCTGACAAGACCCAAGATGCAGGCTGTACAATAGTTGTAGATGCCTCTAAGACTGTCCAACACATCATAGCAGGGTGTAAGACCCAGGCAGGCAAAGCATACATGCAACACCATAACCAAGGGGCTGGAATAATATACAGGAACATCTGTGCTGAGCATGGAATGGAGAT